CTCAGACAGGTTGGAAGAGACTCAGCAGCTGAAGAGGGAACCAGCAAGGGAGAGAAGCTGAACTGAGGGAGGTGAAAGGGCTCAGACAGGTTGGAAGAGACTCAGCAGCTGAAGAGGAAACCAGCAGGGGGAGAGAAGCTGAACTGAGGGAAAGGGAGCTGGGGGGATGGCTCAGAGATACTTCCAGCGAAAACAGTGGTGAGGTTTCCGGACCTCCTGTAGGGACACCCACTCCTCGCCGGAAACTGTCACGCAGAGAGTCCAGAAGACGTGTTTCCGTTAAGGAGCTTTTATGTTGGAAGCGATTACGAAAGCAACCACTGTCGGAATCTTCTAGTGACTAGAGGAGCCATGTCAGAGGGGCTCAGTCACAGACAGAGGTTTGTGGACTTGAACAAACTCTGAGGGAATACGATTTTACGCACAAGCAGCTCATCTTCCCATCACAAGCCCTTTTCAAGCTTGCCAGGATAATCTGGATATCTGTAAAAGTGCTGGTGGCCTGGGTACGCGACAGAGAAGATCGGAGTAGCTTCAAGGGGCCCATAACTGGATCAAATGAATTGGCTTTTGATACAAAAACCTTTCTGTCTTTCCCTGCAAACCCTATGCAGAGAGATGACTACTGATCAGGTGTGAGTCCCAGCTGCTTTTTCTGTTGACCAGAGTGGCAACCCTCTTAACAAGAATACGAAACAGTGCAGAATGTGAAGTTTTGTTTTTAAATCCTCAGATCTGCCTTGTGTTTCCTGTCCACCTCTTTATTTGGCAGTTTGTCTTCCAGAGGCTTTGGGATTTGGAGCAAGGAGGCGTTTCAACCACTAGTGGGCCACTATCTTTGCAAGGCCAGCCTATCAAAATGTAGCAATACAAACAAGTTTAAAGTTAATAGGTGGATAAGAATAAGATAGAAGAAAGGGTTAGAGAGGTAATGCTAGAGATAAATTATTATTTTTCTTCCAATTTGTTGGGTAGCATAGATTTTTCACTCCACTTGAATATACTCTCTTTAAAAAGACAGTTGCAGAGACTGCTTCTGGTGGTAACCTCACTGCCTCTTGTTTCAGTTGCATCCTGTTTCTCTTAACTTCCACAGGTTGAGCTTTACTACATGATTCTAGAACGCCTGGAGAAATACCAGGAAGCTCTGGATGTTGTGAGAGGAAAATTAGGAGGTAGTGTATCTCTTTTTCAAATTTGACAACGGGCAAGTCTCAGTGGTTTGTAGACAAAGGTGCAGCTTCCTTATTTGGAGGCAGCGTCCCTCTAAATACCAGTTGATGGGGGTGAAACAGCAGGTGGTGATTGCTGCTGTCGTGTCCCATTGTAGGCTTTCAAGACGCATCTTGTTACCCAGATGCTGAACCAGATAAGGCTTTTTGCCCAGCACGGATAAAAACAAATGATTTTTTAAAGTCAAACCAGACTTCCATATACGTTTCAAATCAGTTATGTGGCGTATTCCTTCAAACTAGCCTGATGCACATTATGTGGGCGTGATAAATCTCTAGTGATAATCTCTTAATTGAATCTATGACCCTCCGTTAAATAAGTAGAGTTAATGCTTTCTTTTCAGCATACGCAATTATGCTGATTAGAGCAAACTACAGACAAAACCGTATGGCTTTGAAATCGAGCAATATAAACACAACACAGTAGGTCATGTTTTGTATTTATTGTGAACATTTAAATAAATATGTAGACTCTTGTCAAATGAAGAACATGGACATTTACTCCATGTTACAGCAAAGCACTGCTCTGCACATAGTTTGGGCACTTGTAATCCATTGCACAAAGGATTGCCAGCCGTTTAACTTTCACTATGTTATCTCACAGACCCTCTGCCCACAGCATTGTTTCATGTGCATATGTGAAGTTCTCTCCTGCCCACCCTACTCCAGGCATTTTGCATTACTTGGTAAAGTAAAACAGCCTTCTGAGTAAGCTCTTCTAAGTTTATTTTATGTTTCTAGCTTGCCTGTGGCCTTATCTGTTTGGGGGCAGGGGGAGAGATTGCTTTTGTGATTAAGACTTTGTGAATTTATGACTCTTTTTGTTCTATTTAGAGAAGTTAACCAGTGAGCTCCAGAGCAGAGAGAACAAGTGCATGGAGATGTACAAAAAGCTGGGCAAGTGGCCAGAATGCAACGCACTCTCCAGGAAACTTCTGCTGAAAAAGTGAGTGGGAGTTTCAGCTCCTTTTTTTTATCCTTAACCGAACTAAAGCAAAAGGTATTATCTCCTCCATCGCCACTACTGCACCATCATATTCCCAAGGCAAATAAGCAAGTGGTTTGTGACAAGCCCAAAGGAATATCTTCTTGTTCCTCCTAATTTAAGAGCCTAAATCTCTTTATATGTCCATCCCCACCCAGCCAGGATGTGAGGGGATGGGATGCTTGTCCTATTAAAAAGGCTTGATTGGATCCCCCCTACTTCCACTGGCTGAAAGCAGCACTTTCAGTTACAACAAGAGCCGCCAGAGACTTTGCTAGATTTGGGGGCAGTTTGGAAAAATTGCCTTCCCTCCTAAGGTCAACAAAAAGGAAGTTTTAGTTTTTTAAAGAGCAAGTAGCAATGGGAACCTTGAGAGAAAGTCTGTAGTTCAGTGGTAGAGCACTTACTTTGCATATGAAAGGTCTGGGGAAGACTCCCTGTTTGAAACCCTGGAGAACTGCTGCCAGTCAGTGTAGAATACAGTGGTACCTCGGGTTAAGTACTTAATTCGTTCTGTTCTTAACCTGAAGCACCACTTTAGCTAATGGGGCCTCCCACTGCCACCGTGCGATTTCTGTTCTCATCCTGAAGCAATAGTACCCGAGGTACTATTTCTGGGTTAGCAGAGTCTGTAACCTGAAGCGTATGTAACCCGAGGTACCACTGTACTGAGCTGTATAGGCCAGTGTGGTGCAGTGGTTAGAGTGTCAGACTAGGGCCTCAGAGACCAGGTTTCAAATCCTGCACTCAGCTATGAAGCTCACTGGGTGACCTTGGGCCAGTCACTCACTCTGAGCCTAACAGACCTCACAGGGTTGTTGTGATGATAAAATGTGGAGGAGAACTATGTGCACCACTGTGAGCTTCTTGGAGGAAACGTGGGAGTATAAGTGTAACAAATAAATTGGTCTGACTTGGTGTAAGGCAGCTTCCTGTGTTCCTGATAAGCATTAGTAAAGTAGCATCCTGACTTTTATAATGGATAAGAACAGGTTTCAGTGTCCCCCCTTCCCTGCCCCGTAATCAGATACAATGGTATCTAAAATACAGTAAGTTATGAGATTTTAACTTCCCTCTTTGAGATAAGCATTTTTCCCAGACCAAAGCTGTGGGAGAGTCTGGGGACAAGTGGGAGGGAGATAGCTTCCCTCTGAATGTTTAGCTTTCATTAAAAATATCAAAAGGGTCTAGCTCTTTCACACATGGAGATCAATAAGGAAAAACATGGTCATTGTTCTCCTCAAGTGCTTTGCAAGAAGTCAGCCTTCACTCACCTCTCAAAAGCCTGGCTTGTGAGTAGAGAGGTACTGTGGTGGTTGACAAATACTTAGACAAAGAACTAGTTTGTTTGTCATTTAATTTATAGGAAAATTTGCTTGACTGTTTAATTAAGTTACTTTTACTGTTGACCTCCCGCCCACCCCACCCCCATCTGTTAGGTGTTGAAAGAGAAGGCCTCTGTTGGCAGAGTATTCCTAAAGACTGGGCTGGTGACACTAAAGGCTCAATATTTTCACTGGTGCATTTTTTCGTTAGGGATGCTTATCTTAATTTGCCTTTTCTTTAAGATGTGAAAGGCAACAGACATGAAGCTGTTCTTATCTTCCTTGCTAGGTAGTGAATCTCAGCACACTTTTACCCCAGATGCCGGCATTTTGCCTTCTGTAACATGAAAAAGAGAGAGAGATGTTAGTTTTACACTGTGCTCAGTTCTTCTGCTTGCCTCTTTTCTGTTTTAGCCCAGATGATTGGCAGTTTTATATGATCTATTTCAATTCCATCTTTCAACTGATTGACGCAGCCTGGACTCCCCCAGCTGAAGGAGAGCAGTGAGTGTCTTTTGAAGGCTTTGAGCGTTTGTCTCTTTTTAATTGAAATATTTGCATGGTAAGGGGGCTTTGAGAGTAGAGAAATAGGAGCTCATTTCCTTAGTACACTTGGCTGTTAGTTCGTTACTCCCAAACACAGCACCAGCTATTGCCTGCATCTGGATCCTGTGTCATCTAGGAAGAAATGTTTTGAGAGGACCAAATGAGTGCCCAGTGCATCAACTCATGTGAAGTCGTATGTGTAAAAATTCAGATGTTTCTACTCATCTCTCCTAGCCAGGGGCATGAGACACTTCTACCTTCTTGAATACTTTAGTAGTTCAGATCTTGATCCAAAATGAGTACTGGGTTTGCACGTAACACTCAGCCATGGCTGACACAAACCCAAGGTTTATAAGAAGCAACAAATTATGGTTTACAAGTGTGATCAGTTTGTGGTTGACAAATCATACTTAAGCTCCTGGCTAGGTTTGGACAATCAAATAAAGCATGGTCTAATACCCATAGTTTATTAAAACAAGGTGTGGTGTTGCATATGAACCCTGCCAGTGACATCATAGACACCAGCTTTCCTTTCCTCTTAGGCTACTTAATTTTTAATCAGTTTTTGGCAGACACTGAAAGACTAGCAATATTCGTTTGTTCATTCATTCAAACCAAAATTGGTTTGAGGTAACAAGAAAACAGAACCTGCCTTTCATCAGTGGGAACAATCCACACAGCATCGAAACAATATTACGCAATGCTAATAATAGCAACACAAGTAAATAAAATATAAGCTACAAATTTAAAACCAAGAAACAAAAAGGCATCAGTCTGCACTTTGCTTCTAAGATACCTTGGCAAATAAAGTCTTAACCTTTCACCAAAAATAATATGATGCTGGTGCCGGATAGATACCCTTCAAGAAGGTATTTTAAAGTTGGGGCGTCAATACAAAAAGCTCTCTCCTTTGTAATTCATAACATTCCTCTGCTAAAGAAGGTGCTTGGAGCGTTACCCCTAAACTCCCACATGGACATGGGTTCAGACAGAATATTTTCATTTCTTCATTTAATGAGTGTCACAGACACTCCTCTGCATGCCAGCTGGGATGTAGGCAAAGTTCCAGTTTCAGCATCAGGCAAAGGTTTGTCACGGTCTTCACCTTACTATACACCCAACTGGTTGCTCCAGCTGTCTATTGGCTTATGAACACTTTGAGGTCAAAATAAGAGGAGGACTCTGGTCAAGCCTTCGCTGCTCTTCAGATGGGGAGGAGGGTTTAAAACAGGGATGAGAAACCTGCAGCTCTCTGGATGTTGTTGGGCTTTCAGCTCCCAACATGCCTGCCCATTGGTCATGCTGGCTGCAAGGGCTGATAGAAGTTGGAGTCCCAAGAACATCTGGATGGCCAAAATTTCCTCATCCCTGGGTTAAAGGGCCCTTGGCTTGTGCAGGGAGAACTATGGTAAAGAATGGGGGGTAAGGAAATGGGGGCTTTGAATTGGAGCTATACTGGGAGGCAGGAAGCTGCCATGAGCGGTATTGAGCCCCTGGACCTGCAGTTGCCCATCCTAAAAAGTCATGATTTTTACATGTGTCCCATTCCTTGATCAGAATTTCACAAAAAGGCCGTTTGGAGGCACTGGAACTCATACTTCCTCTTTGTGCACAGCTCTCTCGAAGGCGAAGTGCATCACAGCACAGAGCAAGCCATGGCTTTCATAGAGCAGAGGATAACACAAGAAGCCAACAGCGCCCGGCCACTCCGGGGACCTTTCCTCGCCCGACTGGAGCTGATCAGGCGGTTGCGGCACCGAGGCTGCAGTGAAGAACACAAATTGGGTAAGGGCCACTAATGGGATGCCAAATTGAGCCTCACGGGGAGAGGGTGTGAAAGTAGAACCAGGGCTCCGTCCTGGGATTGCCGCAGCTGATGTAAACTCTGCACAAGAATTGCAGAAATCCACCCATGCTTTGGGGAGAGGATTGTTTGTCTTCTATTTTAATCCTTGGCGTGGAGAGGCAGCTTGTGAATGGTAAATATTTAGATGGTAAGACACTGGAGCCTCAAGAATTGCTGCAGCACAAGGAACGCTAAAACTAGCTTTGTGTGTGTGTATTATCAGTGCTTTAAGAGTTGTCTCCCTGCTGAGAGTGAAGTAGAAGCCCTTCAGTAGTTCGTGCAGCACATTCTTCACAAATTGTCACGTGAGATGTATTTGCATCCCTGCTGCTTCTTTTAAAAAGTTAAAAATCTAAATGGAAATTTACTGGGCAGATAGCTGGGAGTTCATGTCCTTTTAAAAAGAAGCAAGCAGGGATCTGCAACAAGATATTGCAGTGTGACCACACCCACTAATATAGCCTGGAACCTTTAGTATTGTTCAGGACTCTTGACTTAAGTGGGGGATGAGTTTCTGGCGTAGGGAAGGGATAAGAATACTTCTTTCCCCCTCTCCCCCAACTCCAAGGCCTTCCTACCTGCCCCAAAGATCTCATAGCTTTATAGTGGGGTAGGGGGCATACAGTTCTAGAGATGGACAAGGAATCCTTCCCCCAAACTCCCCACACATACACCAGATATTCGCTATGACAAGTCAAATTCCTCCTTTTTTTGCCCCCCCTTTTTTCTTTTGGGAGGATTGTATGGATGGTTCACAGCTATTCAGTGTCTCAAACTACAGACTTGACTTCCACTGCCTTCCTGATTCCTGGTTTCTTTGGGCCCTGGTTTCTTTGGGCCCTTAGGAACATAAGGTAAAGGTAAAAGGGACCCTTGACCATTAGGTCCAGTCGTGACTGACTCTGGGGTTGCAGCGCTCATCTCGCTTTATTGGCCAAGGGAGCCGGTGTACAGCTTCCAGGTCATGTGGCCAGCATGACTAAGCCGCTTCTGGCGAACCAGAGCAGCGCACGGAAATGCCGTTTACCTTCCCGCCGGAGCGGTACCTATTTATCTACTTGCACTTTGACGTGCTTTTGAACTGCTAGGTTGGCAGGAGCAGGGACCGAGCAACGGGAGCTCACCCCATTGCGGGGATTCGAACCGCCGACCTTCTGATCAGCAAGTCCTAGGCTCTGTGGTTTAACCCACAGCGCCACCTGCGTCCCTTTTAGGAACATAGGAAGCTGCCTTATACTATTGGTCCATATTGCTCACTGTTGTCTGCAGTGACAGGCGGTTGCTCCTCTAGGTTTCATCAGACTGGTGACATGCCCAGCCTTGCCTGGAGATGTCAGGGATTAAACCTGGGACCTTCTGCATGCAAAGCACATGCTCCACCACTGAACTATGGCCATTTGCATTTTCTCCTCCCTCCATTCTCTCTCTCTCTCTCTATGCTCAGTTGCCACTAACAATTTGTAAGCTCACAGGCTCCTGTCATGCAGTTTCTGGTTGTTTTTTAAAACTGTTATTTTCATTTAGTTAAGAAACTTATGATTACCTGGAGCCACTGCCTTGTTTTTGGTTTCTGGAGTGCAAAAGCCACCACCGTACTTTTGCCTGGCCCCATATCACTTCCAAAATTATAAATGCTCCAACACCTGAGATTGCTATTAGAGGGAATGGTATATTCCAGTGATGGTGAACCTCTCAGTTTGGCCCATGCAGCTGTTTTGGGCTTCACTTTGCCCACCATCAGGTGCAGGACAGGTTAAGCTGAGGTTACAAAGGGACAATAGGAAGTCTGGTTGTTCCTTTGTTGCCCCTGCTTACATTCAGCACTGTTTAAGTTTGGCTATGAGTGCAAGCCTTGCTGCGTTTGGGTGGAGTCTCTTCTACTCAGATCTGCACCTAATGCAAGCAAGGGCTAGAAAGGGACAATAAGGAGGGCACTCCAAGCCACGTGCTCCTGATTGTTCCTTTGGAGCCTCAGCTTGCATTCTGCACACTTTAAATTTGTCACTGAATGCAAGCCCTGCTGCTTCTAGGTGGAATCACTTCTACCTGACATCACTTGCCATCATGTAGTTGACAGTGGGCTGCCCTGTCCACCTGTGAAATGTGGCCTCTGAAAGATTGGCCACTATTTGAACTGGCTTGCCTAACAAAAGGATAAAATAATAGTCCAGTAGCACCTTCTTCAGGTATCTGAAAAAGTGTGCATGCACACAAAAGCTCATACTAAGAACAAACTTAGTTGGTCTCTAAGGTGCTAATGGACTATTTTTTAATTTTTTAAATATATTTCTACTGCGGGTGGTGCTGTGGTCTAAACCAGTGAGCCTAGGGCTTGCCGATCTGAAGGTCGGCAGTTCGAATCCCCGTGACGGGGTGAGCTCCCATTGTTCAGTCCCAGCTCCTGCCCACCTAGCAGTTCAAAAGCACAGCAAAGTGCAAGTAGATAAATAGGTACTACTCTGGTGGGAAGGTAAACGGCGTTTCCGTGCACTGCTCTGGTTCGCCAGAAGCAGCTTAGTCATGCTGGCCACATGACCCGGAAGCTGTCTGCAGACAAACGCCGGCTCCCTCGGCCTATAGAATGAGATGAGTGCTGCACCTAGAGTCATCCGCTACTGGACCTAATGGTCAGGGGCACCTTTACCTTTACTGCGTCAGACCAACACGGCTACCTACCTGAATCTAACAAAAGCAGTTCCCCATCTTAGTTGTATGCCCAAATTGTTGTATTTATGTCTGTGTGTAGAGGCACGTTTGCCAAGGGTTTTCAGAGAGAAGATAACAGAGTTCAGAAAGAGGATAGTGTACCATAACCTGTATTTCCACTCCCTCCACCCCCACAAAGAGTGTTTGTGGCTGGCATACCTCTAGCAGTATAAGCATAGCAGGCAAAGGGTGGCAGGGGGCAGAGAAGAAAGCTGTGCTCCATCCCTTCCCCACTTGTAGAACTCTCCATCTCTCACACCCCCAAGCTAAAGAGAGTGTGCCAACAGAGGATATGTTAAAAATGAAAACACTCAGTTAAAATTGTAAGCCTTACTCGGAAAATGAAACCTCTCTGTTCCAACTTGCTATATTCCTCACATGTTGCCTTCTCAATTGTATGCTTGATTTTCCTTCAGTTATTTGGAATCATCTTTGTTTAGCACCTAGCTTCCTAATTCATCATGATAGCCTTAAATACTGTATTAAATTTCAAAGTACACCAGGGAGTCATGTCAGTTCAGTAAGAGAAGCTAAGGTGTAGATATGTCACTTCCCTACAGTTATCTGTTTTACTGCTGAAAAACATCTTAAATCACTGCTCTTATACTTGTAAGGTGATCCAGAAGAGCTGATGTTCCAATATTTCAAACAATTTGGGGACAAACCCTGCTGCTTTACTGATCTCAAGGTGTTTGTAGATCTCCTCCCACCAACCCAATATACAAAGGTAAGTTTGGTGGCCATTTGTTTGCTTTTCTTTTCAGTATGCTATGATTGTATTATTTGTTCCAGTGATTGAAATATACAATTAAGGCAAAACATTTTGGGTGCAACTTGGGATTATGCAGAAACTTGAAGGCCTGTGTGCTCCTGCCCCAGCTCAGGGCAATCTGACTAAAGATGCTGTTTTATCCATTTTTTTATCTACTGCTTTATTATTTTTTTATAGTTTACCTCTGCTTCCTATGCTGTGTAGGGCAGTGAGGGCCCTGCCCCAATATTCAAAAGAGCAAAAGAGACTTTGCTGTCAGGAGTAGCTGTGCTGAGTGATTTCAGCAGCTGGAAATCCTGGTGCTCAACTCATTGTTCTTCTAAGCCCCTGTGGCTAGAGGGTTAAATGTGCAAAAGAAAAGGGGGAAAAAAACCTGGCCTGTCAGAGGCTGTAAACAAAACTGCTGAGAACTATGGTCCCAGCACTATTGAGGTTAAGAGGGGTTTTTTGTTGTTGTTCTTTTGCTAGCTCCAATGTGGCTCCCGCCAAAGGTCACTGAGCAATTGAGTGAAATCCAGCAGATGCCATTTCTAAGCAGGTTGTAAACATCAGTACATTAAAACAAATCTTACTTCAAAATATTAGGATAGATGTTGCTGCCTTATACCACATCAGCAGGAGTCCCCATTGCCCAATATTGATGGCAGCAGCTTTCTAGGATCACAGGTGGAAGGTGACTACCCTGCCTTGAAATCCTAACCTGTTGCCTTATACCTGCTGATGGTCCCTTAATTAAAAGCCTTACTGGAAGGGAAAGCATCATTGTAACTCCTTGAAAATTTCTCTCACACACTTGATGCAGGCTTTCCAAGGCAGGAATTTTGGCTTTCCAAGGCAACGTCATGTGTAGGGTTTTGTCACTTAAGAGTGAAATCTGAGATCTGGTGCTGAATTGAATATTGTGAGTTTTTAGAAGTGTGGTTTTTTTTTAAAAGTGTGTTTCTCTTAGGACTGCAGGGAGACTCAAGAAGGTGGCAGTGTTTAAGGGAAGAGGGCACTACATACCCACTGATTCCCTAGCTCATGCCTCTACATGCCACTCGTCTCACTATTTGTTCGTTCATTGGTTTCTTTCATGGTATCCATGAGGGAGGGGAGAATAGGATGCCATTTGCTTCCCCCACAATGCCAGCTTTCCCCAATTGGTGTCCTTGAACAAGTGATATTGTGCAGCGATTTCGAGTATATTCATTGAAAATGTTTGTCCCCAGGCTCTCATAGATGATAAGGATTTGAGAATTCTGCCCTTTCTTCACAATGTTCCTAACCAAACAAGCCTACACCATGCCCCTGCAGAACCCAGTGCAGAACAGTTTCTAGCTGGAAAATTTAGGTGTTTTCTGTTCTCAACCAGGGTTTTGCAACCTGGTGCCCTCAAGGTATTTTGATGGGTGGTGTAGTCCAAAACACTTGACGGGCACCAGATTGCACAAGGCTGATGTAGACATACAATCTGCTTATACATTTTGAAACTTTGGCTGCACATTTATCTTCTTAGCACATTTTAGCCTTGCTCTTCAGCTGCAGCGGTTCCCTAAGTGGTTTAAACAATAATTTAAAAAGCCAATCCCAGTTTACAGGCTTAGATTATGAAAAATACAAGGGCCACCACCAGCTTTATTTATAACAACGGATGTAAATCTTTCCAAGGCAGCTTACAAGTAACATTTAAAATGTAAATGTTTTCTAGTATAACAATGCAAGAAACCCCCATGCAATAAAAATAACACCCTTCTCTCATAAGAATAATATATTGAGAGCAGCCAAATATACCCTGCCATAACGTTGCATTGCCAGAATCAGTTTCTGATATGTAAAGGCATACCCTGTTTCTACAAAACAGCTTTCCATTCGTTTTCCATTCAGTGCTGCTAACTGTTTAGTCAGCTTTTCCATGTGAGCCAGAGTCCAAACCTTTCGTCTCCAAGCAGACAACTGCAAATTATCCAAACCAAGTTTGGAGCAATCAGTACATGAGCTGCAACCAGTAGAAAGGTGATCCGTTATTTGAGAAGAAGGTCCTGCTGTTCATCCTTAAACATTGTTGTTCAGGCCAGTTGTGGCATACATTGAACAGACTGTTTTGTGATCAAGCTTTTCCCCTAGTTTTCAACTGCATTTTTAAAAACCAGAAAACACAATTATCAACACATACAGATTCGTTAGAATCCTCTACATAGGGCAGCTGGTGGTAGATGCAAAAGGAAAAAGGGGTGAGGGGGAAAGAAGAAAAGCAGACTCAGGTGCCAGTTCTTAAAGTTTTCATAATGGCCAGGTGGAATGGAAATAGTTCGGGGGGGGGGGGAGCAGCACTGATGGGATCTCTCGGCCATCCCTGCTAGGTATTTCAAATCTAAAATTTCCTTTTCCCTCCCCCACAGTTCATCAACCAGTTGCTGGGGGTCATCCCCCTGTCTGCACCAGCAGAAGAGAAACTTGCACTACCAGCTAACATCAAAGCTTTGCAGCAACACTTGTGTGTTGTGCAGTTGACAAGGTTGCTTGGCCTCTACCACACCATGGACAAAGCCCAAAAACTGGGAGCCATCCAGGACTTGATGTCACGATATCGGCACGGACTGAATTTTGGTGAGGAGGGCTTGAATCTAGCCTAAATGTCAGACCACTTCACTGTTCTTGGGGGAAATCCTAATAATTACTGTACTTTTCCGTGTATAAGACTTGGTTTTTTATGATAAAATAATGTAAAATAATTAGGGTCGTCTTATACAAGGGCAATCTCCCCCCTCCCATTTTCTCAATTTTTAGTCCCCCAAAATAGGGGCGTCTTATACATGGGGGTGTGTTATACATGGGAAAATATGGTATTTCCTCTGCCTCCTACCATGTCATTGCTATTGGCTTACTTCAGCCCCCTGATGCATTTTATCCTTCCTCTAAGGAGTTCTAGAGTGGAGTCCAGTGGATTCCTACTTATCTTCAGGGATGGAACTGCATCAGATATCTTACATGATTTGCTTGGTTTTTAATGGATTTTGCTTTGACAAACTGAAAAAGTTACTTTAGTCAGAGAAGGATTATAAGCAGATGTGGTTTAACTGTTTATTAGTTAAATCTTAGGTAAAAGGTCTATGCTGATTTCCAGAAATAAGAAATTGGCTGGCATTCAACTAAGTTTTACTCAAGAGTAGAGCCACTGAAATTAATGAACATGACTAAGGTAGGTTCATTAGTTTCAATAGCTCCACTCTTAAGTAAAACTTAGTTAAATACGGCACATAGGGTGCAATGCTAGGCATGCTTAACTGTTGGATTATGTCCCATTGAATTCAGTGGGGTGGACTTCTGTATAAATATGCAAGAAGTACTGTAGCTACTTGCTAAACAATACCTTTTGCAAGCCAGGTGTTGTTTAAAATGCTAGACCTACAAGTTTTTCAGTTACATTGCTTGACTTTGTTTTTCCATAGGAAAATCTTGTTTGAAAACAGAGTTGCAGTTTTCCGACTACTACTGTCTGCTTGCTGTTCACTTGCTCCTTGACATCTGGCTAGAGGCAGGTATGTCCTTACATGCTCCACTGCATGCATGCAAATAGAGATTTCAGCCCACAACTGCTCAAGCATTGGTTTGCAGCCGTATGAACAAAAGCCAGTGTGGTTAGAGCAAGCTTCCGCAACCTTGGCCCTCCAGATGGTTTGAAACTACAATTCCCATCATCCCTGACCACTGGTCCTGCTAGATAGGGATCATGGGAGTTGTAGGCCAAAAACATCTAGAGGGCTGAGGTTGAGGAAGCCTGAGTTAGAGTTTTGAACTAAAACCTGGGAGACCAGGGTTCAGATCCCTACTCGACCCTGAAGCTCACTGTGTGTGACCTTTGGTCACTTGCACTTTTTCTGTGGCTGCTCCCAGATTGTGGGATTTCTTTCCTCGTGAAGTTAGGCTAAAGCCTTCCTATTCAAACAGGCCTTAGAAAACGAAGGTGCAGACATTTTTTTTAGGCAATCAGCATTTTAATGCTGCATCTAAATGTGTTGTACTGTTTCTAACTACCGTATTTTTCGCTCTAGGAGGAGGAAAACAAGAAAAAAAATATTCTGAATTTCAGAAGCCAGAACAGCAAGAGGGATTGCTGCACAGTGAAAGCAGCAATCCCTCTTGCTGTTCTGGCTTCTGGGATAGCTGCGCAGCCTGCATTCGCTCCATAAGATGCACACACATTTCCCCTTACTTTTTAGGAGGGAAAATTTGAGTCTTATCGAGCAAAAAATACAGTACTTTGTTTTTATTACTTTGTATTTGATAATGTTGTAAGGTGCCTTGAATCCCATCTTGGGAGAAAGGTGGGATATAAACACATTAAATAATCATAATATTGTGGGAAGCAGTGGGGTGTCCAGCATGGGACATGGCCGTGGCTCTTGGATCCTAGCAAAAGGAGGGCTTCTCATCCCTGCTTGGCCATCTTTCCTGCCCCTTTCTCTCGTTCAAGGCTTGAGTGTGGTGTTCTTTTCCCAGGTGAGGAGCCGGCTGCCTGGCACTGCTTGACTTTACTAGAAGAAGGGCTGGCTCACAGCCCCTCCAATGCTCAGTTCAAATTGTTGCTCATCCGGATCTACTGCATGCTCGGGGCGTTTGAACCAGTCGTGGAGCTTTACTCCAGCCTCGACGCCAAGCACATACAGCACGACACCATCGGGTGGGTAGTGTGGTGTTGGTGGTAATTGTGGTATCAAGCGATTGGCAGGTGGGAACCCTGTCCACCTGTCAAATTTGATCCTCTTTAGAGCCCAAAAGGTAATGAGGATGCAGAGCAGCACTCTCATGGTTACTGTTTTGGTTTTGTTTCTTTTACAGTTACTTGCTGACACGCTATGCCACAGCCTTCGGTCACTATGCTGCCGCGTCACAAACCTGCAACTTTGCACTCAGGTTTTTCCACTCCAACCAGAAAGATGTAAGTGGCAAAGGGACCCCCAAATGTGTACCCCAGTTTCCCCTCAGAGAACACACGGAATCTCTCCAAAGGGTGTGTCTCTTGCATTTCTGCATGAGCAGGGGACGCATGCCCAGAACATTTTAGTGCTGCAGAGGCAGCGGGAGGGCTGCTCCCAAGGTCATATGTTTCTTGTGATGCAGAAAATCTGTAGCTCCTTGCTTAATTAATGCTGAGGCCATCCTGTGTTCCTTCTTAGACCTCAGAATACATTATTCAAGCCTATAAATATGGTGCATTTGAGAAGATCCCAGAATTCATTGCTTTCAGGAACAGACTAAACTCCTCACTTCACTTTGCACAAGTCCGCACAGAACGGATGTTACTGGACCTCTTACTTGAAGCAAATATGTGAGTATGGAAGAGTTGATTTCTAATCTTCTGAGTGCTTATCCTGGGGGGCCCTCAGGCAGGTTGTGGGGTGGTAAAGCTGAGAGAGATGTTAGCTTGGAGAAGTGCTGCTAGCTGTCTCAATTGAGGGACAGGTCCCAGTGGTACTGAAAGATCTCTCGATGAAGCAGAATTCGCTGTCTTCCACCCAAAGTGTTGCACAGTACTCAGATGTGAGAACCCTGGTGCTCTTCGGCTCAGCTGAAGAGTGGGAGTTGTTATATCACTTTCTCAGGTTGAAAAATACAGCTTTCCTGGGCATAAGATGAATTATTTTTTGCACAGAGCATTGCATTATTTATAGCAGGGTCAGTCTGCTCAAGAGTGCATCATTGCACTGACTGAGTGCTAATGAAGTCTGGTCAAAATCCGCTTCAATTCATCCTAATAGCACCTGACCCAAAACTTCTGTATTGCTTTTCATGAACTAGATCAGTGAGTTTGGAAGAAAGTATAAAGTCCATGAGCCTCAGTCCAGAAGAGGATGACATTCCCTGGAATGACCTGCGGGACAACCGAGACCTCACTGTCTTGTTTAATTGGGACCCAAAAGACAGGTAGGTACAAAAATCCGCTGCTGTGGTTGTCATTATCTGAAGGCTAAATTTCAAGAATTTGTCCACTAAATTGCAACCTAAAAACGGATTGTCTTCCCTTTTATATTTATGCAAACAGTTAGATAACATTTAGCCCGCACTTGAATGTGCTTTAACTCTGTCTGGTCCTTGAGATTCCCCCAGACCACATCCCTCACTGGCCCTTCTCCACGCTCTCCTCAAGTGCTTTTGTCTGGCTGGAATGGGTCATTGAACTGTGATAATGCCTCTTGCTTGCTGGATGGAGAAAACTTTTGCACATCTGGGATATAGCCTATTGTACAAAGCGTAGGAGCAGCATCCATTGCTTTTCCCACTTTTGGCTCTGGCCCTGCCCACAACTGGCTGGTGGCCCTTGGAGGAGCTTTTCCACAAGGATGTCCAGTCTTCGGGTGAATAGAATCTTCCCCACTACTGTATGGCCTCCCCAATAATCCCTGCACTGTTTACCATTGCTTTTTCATATTTTTTGTCTTTATTTCTAAAAATATTTATTTATTGCTGCACCTTTAAAATATATCACAGCAGTTTACAACATAAAAATAGAAAACTATACAATAAAGTCATAAAATTTTTAAAAAAACCTAAAAGCAAAGATAAATTAAAACTAATAATCAGGGGATATACTGCACAGGCTTGATTTCTTGTTGTTGTCAAATGAGCTTCACCAACTTGGGGAATGACCAAAGACATTCCTGCAAAAGAAGCTGGAATATAAGGTTTCAGGCAACACCTGAGATATCCGGGACCCAAGTAAATCTTTGTAAATCAATACAAGAACCTTGAACTTGGCTCGGTAGCAGATGGATAGCCAGGGCAGCTGTTTTAACAATGGTGTCCTCAACCAGAAACTTCCATCAGCAATGTGGCTGCAGCATTCTGCAGCAGCTGGAGCTTCCAAGCCACAGCAGCCCCACATAGAGCGCATTACAGTAATATAACACCAGGTGTAGGCTCTCCAGTCCTGCTCCAAGAGAGAAGGGTTTTCTGATGGTAGTGAGTGCACTTCTACGGACTACAGCAACACTACACCACCAGCCCTCCAGTCTGAATTGATGTTGCACCAAGAACCGGGGCAGGCACAACTGAGTCAAATCAGGTCCACCTAGATCTCAGGGATGCACACCAGTTCGGCTTGCTCATCCGCAATCAGATTGTGTCTCAGCATTGGGCTTGCAAATAGAGCAGGGAAGCTTGAGCTTGTACTTCTGTGTCTCAGTTCTTGGACACCCTCTCCCCTTCTCCCTCCTTCCTTTTTTCTCTCTCTCAGGGGCATTTCTGAAGAACACAAGGAACTCTCCTTGGAGGAAGAGACCATATGGTTGCAGATCCGATCTTTGATGTTGCGGCTCATAAGTGGCCTGCCAGCTCTTGGCCACAACGCCCAGCCAAAGAACTCCGAGAAAACCACGGAAAATGGCGTCTCCTCCAAGATCGACATGATAAGAGCTCTGCTGCGGAAGCTGGACGCTGCAGTGAAGTCCGGAAAGCAGTTCCTTGAGCAGAAAGTTCAGGTACAGCTAAGAGAATCTGTTCCTGATTTCTTTAAAACAGTTTGTGATTATGCCAGGAGAGTTGAGATTCTTCCGATGTGCCGGCAAGGTGCTTTAATTGGACAGCTAATTAGCTGATACCAAGAACCAACTCTGCTTTTCTCCTGTATGCAAAAGGTACAATATTTAATTTTCTTCCCCCTTTTTCTTCTTCCCGCCTAGTATCCGGTCCTTGGCCCCCCACCTTCCCGAATGGCTGGTTTCTTCAACAGTGGGAGCTGCCAGTGCCAGACCAGCTTATTTCACCTTGTTAGTGAAATTTATGAATTAGATACTATTGGGTTAGGTAAGTCTTGAAATTCCTGGGGCCAGCAGCCAATTTAGGTGTGTCTGCTGAAGCGGGAGGGAGGCATACATGGGTGTGCTGCTCTTTTAGATCGGTTTGAAGATATTGGCCTCTTGCAAGCTGCTGTTGATGCCAAAGGCTTTTCTTGTGGAATTCTGAGCTTTTTTTTAAAAAAAGGAAAAAATCCTGGAGAAAATCCTGATGTTTAAGATTTGGAAAAACCCAATGAAATCTCAGCTTGCCATCTGGTTATGTGCCTTCTGGCCATTTTCTTTGGAATTTTCTGCCTTGTCTCCGTACTTCCGTTGACTCGGGTTAAAAATGAAAATTACAATCTGGCAAGGCAGAAATGGGGAATGTGTGGCCCTCTAGATCTTCTTGGAATCCAGCTCCCATCTGCCTTGGCTAGCATGGCCAATGGGAGTTGTAGTTCAGCAATATCTGGACAGCCACAGAGTGTCCATTCTATCTCTTCCATATGGTGAGCCTTGTGGCCCATACCATGTGCTCTCCACTTCTTCTTCTTCTTCTTGTTTTGATTTCTTAACTGCCCTTCACTTAAGGTTCCAGGGTGACTTGCAGCCATTAAAAAAAGAGCATTAGAAGAAGTTTAAAACTACTGGTAATTAAGATTCACAGGAATAGGGTGGGTCCCAGAAATATACTGAATGATTTTTGTACTGTAAGAACTGCTTTGCTTTTTGCTTAATTGTGACCAAAGATATGTTTCTATTTTTTATTTTTGGGGTTGGATGTGACCTCAAGGGCCATCTAGTTCAACCCCCGTACGGCAGCAAATTTAAGTCTGGTGGGTTTTTTTTATTGTGATAGTCTTTTTCTTCTCCAGCGGTTGCTTGTTTTCATTGTATTTTTTTTCTAAATCTGTCCCTTGAGATAGTTAGATAGATAGATAGATAGATAGATAGATAATTTGACTATTTGCATAAGCCATTTGATAACTTTTCTTTATTTTCAGAAGATTCGGCAGCAATTCAAGAGAGAATAGGAAATAGCTTTAAATCATTACTAGAACAACTAACAGGTAAATCTGCTGAAAATCACATTACCAAAAGTTCTAGCCCACAAGAAATTTACATTAGTCCGTGCTTATCAGTTATGCATATGCAATTAAAACTTCACTTTTCTTTGTATGTGAGGGTATCACCAGGAGTAAATAAATTGGGTTGTTTTTTGGAAAGATGGTTTCCATTTGTTATGTATGCAGACACTGCCAAAATAAAGCACAGAATAAAAATAAAACACAAATAAATAGGGGTGGGGGCTAAAAACAAAGAAAAGATAATCCTTTAAAAGTAATTAAGCACCAGTCAAATTAAAGCAATATTAATAAAGATTGATATGTTGGATGGGAAAAGTTCTACCTCAGTTATAGAGTGCATGCTTTGCATGCAGATTGTGAAAGGGGAAGCCACAAAAAAGTGTTTCCCAATATGCTGCCTTGTGTAAGACTTGATTTTTTTCTCCCACGAGTTTCACCTTGTTTCCTTCTTTTCTTAAAAAAACAGATCAATTCAATAAATGTAAAGGTGATTTGTTGGAAGTCAGGGAAGGCAGGTTCCAAACCCATCCGAATATTTTAGAAAATCTGGTCTTCTTCGTGGAGGTGAGTAATGAGACCTTTGGAAAGCTGGTCCTCCCCCCCCCCCTTTTTGTCGGTTGCAAAAACCCATCAGTGTCCCTAACGTGCCTGTTTGACAACCTCTTTTCTCACTCTTGCAGACCATCTCCATTGTTCTGTGGGTATGCAGTTATTCTGACGCCGTCCTCAGGCCCTACAGATCAAGCTTGCAAAAAAAGAAAAAGAAGAAAAAAGAGAGTGTTGTAGCAATGGTAGGAAATCGTGTCTTAATTGAAAAGGTTACATCTTGGTTACATCTTTTATGACATTTCCGGGTCACATCTGGGTTTGGGTCTGTTCGCAGTCGCTCACATCTTGTTCACGCCTAGAACAGGGGTTTCCTGTAATGAATTAATGGAATTTGCTTAATTGAGGTGTGATGGTCTTAAGGAAAGATTACGCTAAAACCACAGAGAATAGATCTCTGTCATCAGTTATAAGCTACAGTAGCTAATGGAAACCTCCATGTTTAGTTGTAGTAATGTTCAGAAAGGGTTCCTCTTCTCAGGTGCTAAGATCGTCAGGTGGGGGAGGCCTTCTTTGTAGCTCCACCTCAGAGGTTTGAGGAGTGGGCACCCAAGAGAGGGCATTCTTTGTGGCAGTCCTTACACATCTGAAACTTTCATTATGTGGCTTCCATTGCATTACTTTTTACCCTGGCCTTTAACACCTGAGGCATATATTTTCAGGACCCACTCTTAACTACCGTATTTTTTGCTCTATAAGACTCACTTTTTCCCTCCTAAAAAGTAAGGGGAAATGTGTGTGCGTCTTATGGTGCGAATGCAGGCTGCGCAGCTATCCCAGAAGCCAGAATAGCAAGAGGGATTGCTGCTTTCACTGCGCAGTGATCCCTCTTGCTGTTCTGGCTTCTGAGATTCAGATATTTTTCTTCTTGTTTTCCTCCTCCAAAAACTAGGTGCGTCTTGTGGTCTGGTGCGTCTTATAGAGCGAAAAATATGGTAATTTGTTTAAAATGAATTTTTTAATTAGTGTAACCTGCCTTTTGATTTTATGGTGAAGGACAGGTGAGAAATTGGATTAATAATAGCAGCAACAATAATATAGTTTTGATTTGTACTCTATTTATGCCGCTAAGGTAAAAAAGTAAGGTAAAGGACCCCTGGATGATTAAGTCTAGTCAAAGGCAATTAAAGGCAATTACGGGGTGCGGCACTCATCTCACTCTTCAGGCTGTGGAGGCCGCCGTTTGTCCACACAGCTTCCTGGGTCGTGTCACCAGCATGACTAAATCACTTCTGGCACCTGGTGGACCATGATAAGTGATAAGAGCACACAGAAATGCTGTTTACCTTCCCGCTGCAGTGGTACCTATTTATCTACTTGCACTGGTATGCTTTCAACTGCTAGGTTGGCAGAAACCGGGACAGGACAACAAGAACTGACCCTGTTGCACAGATTCGAACCGCCAACCTTCCAATCGGCAAGCCCAAGAGGCTCAGTGGTATAGACCACAGCACCACCCGTGTCCCTACATTATGCTGCTAAACATACCCATTAAAAAGCACTGCCTCCAAAACAAAAACCTATGATATACTTCTGTGGAGAACATTGCAGAGATATTTAGTGGGTCAGGGTGCAACAGCTTTTATTTTTCTCTCTGCAGCCCCCTGTGTTCACCAGCTTTCAGGATTACATTTCCGGTCTCCAGACTCTCATTTCCAATGTGATAGATCATATCAAAGGGCTAGAAATCAATCTAGCTGCGCTTAAACTTGAAGAACTCTCCATAGAGGACAATTTACTGTCGCAGGTAAGAAACTGTTGCTTATACATTGAGGTTCTATGATTTGAGATGACTCAGGATTAAAACAAACCGCTGTTTAGTGTTAGGTGCAATTGTACTTTGAGACATTTTTAAAGGTAATTAAAGTGTTTAATTACACTTTGTGTTTTTTTAAAAAAAAATATTTATTAAAGTTTCAAAGGGAAAAAATCACATTAATAAAAAAAATTAACAATAAAAAGGAAAAATACAAAGTAGAAAAAAAAGAAAAAACAGTTAAAAACAATTCCATCTTTTCCTCACTTCTTTTACTTTTACTTGTTTCCCGGACCTCCTCATACCTCCCTCTTTTGTATTCCAATTCAATTTGTTAATCCAACAATTCCTTTCCCTCCTTTTTAATCCTAATCCTTAGTCTTGATATATTGTAACGTTAGATTTTTACATATTAAAAACCAATTTTTCCATATTCTTTTATACCTATACAGCTAGAAACCACTTAACTTCAATCCAACATCATTCTAACATTCATTAATTTTGCAATATTTCTGTAAATAGTCTTTAAATTTCTTCCAATCTTCTTCCACCGACTCTTCTCCCTGGTCACGGATTCTGCCAGTCATTTCTGCCAATTCCATATAGTCCAAAAAGTGTTTAATTACACTTTGTGTAATTTGTGGGCTCAGTTTTGTGGAACTCCCTTGCAGTTGAGGTCAGGCAAGTTCTTTCCCTATTGAACTTCCTGTGCCTACTGAAGGATTTTTTTATTCCAGCAGGTGTTTTAGGTGTAGTTTGATTCAATAGTTTTAACTGATTTTCATTTTTGTATTGTATCTTCGCAAACCACTTCAACCATTGTAGTTAAGTGGTATATAAACTGCTTACGTAACAACACACACAGATGATTTATTTATCTGTGTCAAAAAATGTTTCTTCCCAGGAAGAAAAGAAGTTTACAAAGACTGTGCTGAGGAAAGTCCAGAACAGTTACCAACATGCGATACAGGAAATGGGAGAACTGCTGAAAAAGAGACTTGATACCATCAAAACCCTAAAGGTTTAAGGAAGTGTGTTCTGGGTGCCAAGGGTCAAGATTGAAATGCCGACAACAGACAAGAAACAGCATCTGCCACCATCCCTTCAACGTTAAAAATCTGGAACTTCCTCAAAAATGCATGAAGGACTTTTGATCGTAAAAAATAGTTTTTTTTTATGTATTAAAAAGATATATTCAAGCTGATTAAATTATTGTACATAAAAACCAGAAGCAGGGACCCTTGTCCGTCAGGGTTAGACCACTTTTTTTATACATGTTCATAAGCATATTGTAACAGAGGCAAAAACCCCTAACCTGTTTCACTTCCCTTTGTGGGGAGAGGGGGGGCATTCTCCAGAAGCTCTCTGGGGGCTTGAAGTCTTTAGAAGCAGCAATAGAAATCCAGTGTAAAGCATATTTCAAAGGAGTTTGTATTTTTTCCATCACACAATGCAGCATTTATAGTTTTGTGTGCACGTTTCTTGCCTTAGAAAAGCAGAAATTCAGAGAGCCCAGTGGTCCACTGGGTAACTTCTTGGGTGTTCTTTCTTTCTCCCCATCCAACACCCCCCCCCCCCCGAGAACAGTTGTATGACTGCTTGGTGAACTAATTGGCCCAGGACAGGTGATTTTCTCCCCCACCCCCACCCCCCCTCCAGAACAGTTATTTTTATTCACACCACCAACCTAACAACTGAAGGCACTGCCTGAGTGAGTTGCAACTTGTGTGCCCTTGTGTGTCTTGCTTTCCAATCCTGCAAGGAAAAACAAAACAAAATCAGAAAAAGTTGGTATCTGCTTAAGTTTGTTCCAAGGTGAAATAATGCCAAAAGAAACATATAAACTTGATTGAAAACTCAACGTTGGCTGCAGCTCAGTGCAAATGGAACGGCTAAAGGTGTGTATATGTAATCTGTCACATAAACTCAACACACCTATCTTCCTTTGTGTAAAAGATGAATTGCTGAGGTGGTGTCTGTGCCCTTGGATGCTTCATATTAGGTTTACGGCTGTATTTCAAGCAAGTTTAAGTGGTGAGGAACAGGATGCGTGGTCTGAGTTGTGTTTCCTGTTATTCATAAATCTCTTGATTGATCCTGGGCATCGTTAGGGAATGTGCATTAGATAAATTTTGGATGAGACTCTAGAAAATCATTCAAATCCTGTTCATTCTCACCATTCCAAACCTTTCATCATATCTAAAACAGCTTTTGGTGAACATTTGTGTAGGTTCCTCTTGGATTTTATTAAATGCATGGAAATCATCATCTGGCCAAAAGAAATGGCTTTCGATAAAGTATCTTGATCTTCCTTTGTAACCAAATACAAGTGTAGCAGGCTTGATTATCCAGGCACCACCTTGAATATCCCTCCTCCCACTCCTTGTTACTTTGTTCATCATGTTACATGGTACAGGCAGTCCTTGTTTTGTTTGGAGGTACCGTTCCATAAGCCCAGCCCATCCAGCCCCTTGTCATGGCATCTTTATGACATTTTGGGGCTACTTACGGGTTCAGCGATGTGCACTTGGGTACCATCATGCATCATTCAGACATGCCTAAACTGGGAGTTGCCTCTACCACTAAACTTTTTTTCTACCAAATTATAGCTGTTTCAGAATCAATGGGTACTGAAAATAGGTAATTTTTATGGCAACAAAGACTTCAGGCTTTGGCAGATACCTGGCTAAAGGAAAAACGATGATAACAAGCTTTAAATTTTTGAAAGAGCTGGTAGTCTTGGGGGATGGCACATCATTTTTCCTAGAAACAAGTGGGTGAGCCGTTTCTCTTGTGGCCAGTCCACTACAGATTCCTTGTGCAGAATTCTAGGCCCTGTGAATTTTTGTGATTAGCTTATTTCTGCTATTAGGAGGGATCTGAAGACCTTGACCGTAAAATTTTCAGGTGTACTTTTAGGAATGATCCACACGGCGTTTATTTTGCCAGTTGTGTTGATGTGTTAGTACATTCTAGCCACTTCAGCCTGCTTAATCACCATTTCGCACAGCTGAGGGGGACCAGTAGATTTTCCGTGGCCATCTTGTCATTCACAGGAGAAGTACCTGCTTCTTCCAGGAACAATCCCCAATCTACCTGCTGAAGGAGGGAAAGCTGCTGTGTGAAACCCACCTGAATAGTTTGGTAGTGTGATCAACTTGCTCCTCAGAGCAGTGTGTGTGTGTGTGTGTCTCAGAATGATGCCTACATAGATATGTTTTTTGTCCAGAAACGCCAGCATGATTCTTAGACGCCACACAAGAAATCAGTCTTTATTTATTTTAATCTGGAACCGTTCTTCACTCCAGCTACACATGCAATTTAGTGACATACTGAAGTCTAGATTTGCCAGTAAGATCTATTGGAGAATGAAGGCCTTCTGTGCTTGCTTTTGGAAGTGAGGCTTTTTAAAAAAAAGCCCCAGTTATTGCAAGAATCATATAAGGTTCCAGAGACATTTCACTAGCAGCTCCTAAAAGGAGTCTACCTGCATCAGACACCTTGATTCCAGGTGTTTTCTTTTGTTGGCAGTGCTAGAGGTCACTAAAGACATAAGCAAAAATAATCCTTTTAAGTCCCCCCCACCTTTCTCCATACAGAACAAAAGCAGGGGACAGAACTATGCTAGGCAATGGGGATAACCAAGAAGTATCTCAAAATGGTACAGGTGGTGAATTCTGTTTGCCAAGTTGGGAATGCCTTCAGTTAAGACAATTGTGCTCTTGTGTAACTTGCCTGCTTTGTGGCAACATCTTCCTTCTGTGTTGGGCCTGGAACCAATTTCTCCTGAAATCCAGGTGGGGCGGGCGTGTCCATGTTGGTAGCAGCATTGCCCTTTAAAAGAAATGGAAAATCCTACACATTTGAATTTATTTCTGAAGCAGCAGTTTGCAAAGCTCTCAGGATCCAATCGAGGAAATACAATGCCCTGCTCCCCACTCCTTATGATCAAAATACTCCATTACATAGGAGTTCGTTTGGGGTTTTTCTCTGACAACTACATATGTATCAGGGGCAGCATCAGATTCCAGCACAATAATCATTTGGGTCCACTACAGGGAGAGAATTTGGCAGAAAAGTTAAATTGTAAGTTTCTGGAGAAACTGATCGTTGTCAACAAAACTCAAGTTCTTAATAAACCAAATGTTTTCGTTCCTTCTATAGCAACACACATACTTACACACAAACCTCCCTTTCTGAATTTGTGAAATAATGTACCACTGTTGTTTTATCTCATTTTCATGAACTTAAACATGTATAAAAAGAGAGCTACAGACTACTTTTATGCAGTGCTGGGATCATGAGCCAAAATGGTTCGGCAGCTGCTTCCAGCAACCAATTTCTAAAGTTAAAATATTTCATTGTTGTAATCCAGTTACGTTCCTCTCTCTCAAGAAAACTACATCAGCCACCTGTATTGCCCATTTAGCTGGAGGGGGTGTGTATATTTTTAGTAATTTTTAACTTGTTTAAAATTGCATTTATATTTTGCAATTGTTATGTTGAATCATGGAGGAGGGTTTGTCTCTTACTTTGATCTATAAAGGGGATTTCTGTTATATGCAAGAAAGCTTGGAACTTTTTATTCCTTGACTTGTTCTCTGTAATTTATGACTTTGGAAGGTCTGTAAAACACTTAAGCAGCTGACAGAATTTTAAGTGACAAAACTGCTAGCAATCTGCTTTAAACTGGATGGATTTATAATTTATATATATATAAATATATATATAAAGGTCAGTTTCTTTATAAACAAGTTTTTTCTGCCTTTTTCTTTAAGGGTGTGGGATTATCATTATTTTGCAAAAATATGAAGGATTTCTAGACTCCCAGCCCTGCTTTTTTAATGCTTAGCTACAAAAGAGGCAGATTTGGCCCAGAAAGTTTCAGAGAAAATTATTACTTATTAAATTTATATCCCACCCTTCCTCTCAAAGGAGCACTATACTCTTTATTTACCTTCGTTTCCCATATTATATTTTAAATTGTAGAGGGACGCGAGTGGCACTGTGGTTTTAATTTAATTTTAAATTGTAATGTGCTGGGGTCTCATAGGGAAGAGTGGCTTAGGAAGTACAGTAGCGTGATTTTCCCTTCAGCTTCACTTGGAATCAGTTTGCACCCACTCGACCAAGGGCTTTGGTAGTAAAAGACAATTCACCTTCAGCATTCTTTCCCCCTATAGATTTTCTAAATCAGATATTTTGGGGGAGCACTGTTTTTAATTCAAACTGGATTTGGGTGGCCAGGGATAAGGCAGGATCACATTTATTGACTCCCTGCCTGTTCCCCTCCTGCAGAGCATGAGATTGGCAGCAGCTTGCCCAAAGCATTTTTTCTTTGCCTCTCCTTGCCTTCCTGCCAATTTTCAAATGGTAAGCAAAGCAGCTTTCTCTGTTCTCCTGCAAACAAGGGATGCTCCCGGCCTAGACCCCTTTATTTTTTCTGCCTTGGGTACCTGGCTGCACCACCGGGGTCTGGGATCAGGGCCGGATTTAGGTTTAGACACTGAGGTCCAGCACCGAGGGCCTTCTGGCGGTTCCCTCGCTGCGAGAAGCCACGTTACAGGGAACCAGGCAGAGGGCCTTCTCAGTAGTGGCACCCACCCTGCGGAACGCCCTCCCACCACATGTCAAAGAGAAAAATAACTACCAAACCTTTAGAAGACATCTGAAGACATCCCTGTTTAGGGAAGCTTTTAATGTTCAATAGGTTATTGTATTTTAGTGTTTTATTGGAAGCTGCCCAGAGTATTATTATTAATTATTGATGATGCCCTAAGCAACTGAAGGTAATGGGGCCCTTTAGATGTTCAGCTGTCCTTTGTCAACAAATTGTCGCTGTTTTTTGTGTTGAATATATGCTATATGGTCATTTATGGACCTAATAGGTATCTAAAGGTATACCTAATAGGTATCTTTTGCACGTAAAAAAATATGTATTTTATCAAAGTAATTGTTAACTGAAATACAATTAAGTATATTAATAGTGAAATACAATTAAGAAGAAGTATTTTAATAGTGAAATAATTATTAAGCTCTAACTTAAAATGATTGGGGGCCCATTACTTACATCATAGGAGCCAACACAACACAAAACACTTGTTGCTGTTTGTAGATTTTTTTGTATCTTATATTTTGGAAATGTACACCTAGTTTTTACATTTTTTACATTTATTACATTTACATTTTTTGGGAGCCCCAAAGAGAGTGGGGCCCTTGGCTATAGCTTGCTTATCTTATACATGTCTGGGATTCAGAGCTGGGCTTGCTTTTCTTGCATTGCAATGACAAGGGGGAAAGGCACTCTGCCATAGCTGTCAACGTTTCCTTTTTTTTAAGGGAAATTCCCTGATTTCAAATAGGATTCCTCGCAAGAAAAGGGAAAAGCTGACAGCTATGCACTCTGTGTGAAATAGTGAGGAGGAATTAAAGAAGCTTTTAATGAGGGTGAAAGAGGAGAGCGCAAAATATGGTCTGAAGCTCAACATCAAAAAAACTAAGATCATGGCCACTGGTCCCATCACATGGAAAATAGAAGGGGAAGAAATGGAGGCAGTGAGAGATTTTACTTTCTTGGGCTCCATGATCACTGCAGATGGTGACAGCAGCCACGAAATTGAAAGACGCCTGCTTCTTGGGAGAAAAGCAATGACAAACCTAGACAGCATCTTAAAAAGCAGAGACATTACCTTGCCAACAAAGGTCCATATAGTTCAAGCTATGGTTTTCCCAGTAGTGATGTATGGAAGTGAGAGCTGGACCATAAAGAAGGCTGATCACCGAAGAAATGATGCTTTTGAATTATGGTGCTGGAGGAGACTCTTGAAAGTCCCATGGACTGCAAGAAGATCAAACCTATCCATTCTGAAGGAAATCAGGCCTGAGTGCTCACTGGAAGTACAGATCCTGAAGCTGAGGCTCCAAGACCTTGGCCACCTCATGAGAAGAGAAGACTCCCTGGAAAAGACCCCGATGTTGGGAAAGATGGAGGGCACAAGGAGAACGGGACAACAGAGGACAAGATGGTTGGACAGTGTTCTCGAAGCTACCAGCATGAGTTTGACCAAATTGCGGGAGGCAGTGGAAGACAGGAGCGCCTGGCGTGCTCTGGTCCAGGGGGTCACAAAGAGTTGGACACGACTAAACAACTACATGCACTCTGCACATGCTGCTTGAACCTTGCGTTGCAAACGTAGGCCTTCCTTGCTGCAAAACAGGAGACAGGAGAGAAGCCATGAGCAAAGCAACATGGGGCGCCGGTGCTGGATCCTGGGGCAAAGGAAAGCCGTGCCTCTCTGCAACATAGTAAAGGTAAAGGGATCCCTGACCATTAAGTCCAGTCGTGGCCGACTCTGGGGTTGCGGCGCTCATCTCGCTTTATTGGCCGAGGGAACCAGCATACAGCTTCCGGGTCATGAGGCCAGCACGACTAAGCCGCTTCTGGCGAACCAGAGCAGTGCACGGAAACACTGTTTACCTTCCCGCCGGAGTGGTACCTATTGATCTACTTGCACTTTGACGTGCTTTCGAACTGCTAGGTTGGCAGGAGCAGGGACTGAGCAACGGGAGCTCACCCCCTCGTGGGGATTCGAACCTCCGACCTTCTGATCGGCAAGTCCTAGGCTCAGTGGTTTAACCCACAGCGCCACCCGCTTCCCTTCTCTGCAACACCCCCCCCCCAAAAAAGGAATCTCGCACGCACGCAAGCCACGCCCCCCCGCCTTAAATGAGGCGGCCCTTTGAAGTGCCTGGGAGGGAATCTAGCCTTTGGTCACGTGGCCATGCCCAGCAAAGCCCCTCCCTCCCTGTAGAATCTTCCACATTCGCCCAGAAATGCACCGGGTCGCCATGGCTATGGGGATCCCTCGGCGGAGCGCCCTGCTGCTCCTGTCCCTGCTGCTCTGCTTTGCCCTGGAGAGCAGCTGCGCTTTGCACACCAAGGGCGCCCTGCCCCTCGACGCCATCACCTTCTACAAGGTAGAGCAAATTGCCTTTTATTTCGTTTTCTTAAGGGGAGGGATGATGCTGGAAACGACACTTGCATGCTTTTGGGGGGGGAGGATGAACTGGGGGGGGGGGGCCTTCTGCTCCGATTCCTCCCTCCTCTCGGCGGACATAGGGGCATCTCTCTCAAATCATGCCCAAAATTGCAAATTGCATTTGCAAAAGTCCGGCGTTGCGCGCCCGATTTGCTTCTTGGTTAAAGCGATTTGCCCATCGCTCCTGCTCTCTGCTTGGGATGCCTGAAAAGAGATCAGCTGCGCAACACGCCCCCTCCTCATATTAGTGGGTGGCAGAGGGCATAGTCCAACTGGATTATGGGGGAGGGGGCGCGCCCCTTGGCATGAAGCAGGAAAGAAGGGAAGGGGGTGTTGGAGAGGACAAAGGCGACCTGGAAACAGGCTAGGTGCAGCCATACTAACAAGAATCCCCGCGCATGCAGTATTTGCGGTAGGTTTTTATTTTTATTTTGTTGCTTTTAGATCCCACTTTCCATCCAGGGTACGCTCAAGGTGGCATGGAAAGTTCTCCTCCCCCTTTTATCCCCACAGCAACCCTGTGAGGTAGGTTAGGCAGAGAGTGAGAGACTGGCCCAAGGTCACCCAGTGAGCTACAGGGCTCTGTGGAGGATTTGAACCCAGGTCTTAGGCCTGCTTTTTGCACACACTAGCTTGGCATCACATTTCCAGGACACAAAGGCCTCTGAACACAACAGAAATCTCACCCTGAATTATTTTAGCCCCGCTGCCTTAAATTATGTTATCCGATCATACAGAATCATGCATGTTGATAGCAGTAGATTGCAATATTGATTCAATGGATTGGATTAGATTAAAAATAGAGCCTTTATACCACTGTTACTATTGATATTCCATTAGTATCCTGTGTTTTTGTTGGGGAACCTGAAGGAGTTATTGTGCCTGTTTTCTTAGTGGAATTTACTCCTGTGTAACTCCACAAGTATTGCAAGTGGGGCGTTTCACTCCCACTTCTTTCTCTGCCCTTAGTTTCTGATATGCAACCTGCAGTTTAATTGCAAAATTTGTCTCCTTGCTCCACCCAGTCGAGGGAGGCGGCTTCAGACAGTCACCAATCATAGTTGTCCAAGTGGATGCCAAGGGCAATGCAAACTTGCTTTGCTTTCCAGGGTGAGGAGGGGCACAATTTGTGCCCGATTCCTGAATCAGCACCAAGGATTTCTCCCCTGAGCAAAATGAAGTGAGAGTACCCCTGAGAATATGCAGAGAGCTCATTTCCAAGCAAGAATATGGAAGGATCAGTCCTGGAATGGTGGGTGGAAAATGGGTTCAAGACAAATTAAGAGTCCCAGCGACTCCTTTTGAATATACACACACAACACACACCCTCCCCATTGTATATTCCTAGCCTCAGAGGTGTACTTCCTCTTGATATGGAGAATTTATTTTCCTGTAATATACAATACGTGGGACGCATATTATAGTATATAATATATAGGGACGCGGGTGGCGCTGTGGGTTAAACCACAGAGCCTAGGACTTGCTGATCGGAAGGTCGGTGGTTTGAATCCCCGCAACGGGGTGAGCTCCCATTGCTCGGTCCCTGCTCCTGCCAACCTAGCAGTTCAAAAGCACATCAAAGTGCAAGTAGATAAATAGGTACCACTCTGGCGGGAAGCTAAACGGCGTTTCCGTGCGCTGCTCTGGTTCGCCAGAAGCGGCTTAGTCATGCTGGCCACATGACCCGGAAGCTGTACGCCGGCTCCCTCGGCCAATAAAACGAGATGAGTGCCGCAACCCCAGAGTCGGTCACGACTGGACCTAATGGTCAGGGGTCCCTTTACCTTTAATATATAATAAGCCAGCAGTAAACCTCTTCTTCCAGCAAAATGTTAAGAACATACAAAGACCCTGCAGGATCAGGTTAATAGCTCATCTAGTCCGCCATCCTGTTCTCGCAGTGGCCAACCAGGTGTCTGTATGAAACCGGCAAGGAGTTTCTGACCACAAGAACACGCTTCCTTCCTGCAGTTTCCAGAAGCTGGTTGTCAGAAGCATTGCTGCTCCAATTGTGGAGCCCAGAGCATAGCCAATTGGCTAGTAGAAGCCATCAGTAGCCCTCTCTTCCATTCAGGTATTTGAAGAAGTGTGCATGCACATGAAAGCTTATACCCAGAACAAACATATAAATAAATAATATTTTTTTATTTATACCCCGCCCTTCCCAGTTCAGAAAACGGGGCTCAGGGCGGCTAACAACAAATTTAAAACACTTAATTGATACAACAAAAAAAGCATAAAATACAGTATAAAACGTGAATAACAATAAATTCAGAAATCAATTTAGGGGGAAAATCCATTCAATAAACATTAGATGATCACCAGGGCTAGCTGGCTAAATTAGTCCTATTTGGGCCAGCGAGGAGACCAGGGGAGAATTAGCTGTGGGATCCCAGAGCGGGTAATAAAAAGGGGAGGGGGAGGGAAGGAAGGGGAATAAAAGATCAGGTTAAGTTCAAATTGAAAGCCAGGCAGAATAGCTCTGTCTTAAACTTAGTTGGTCTCTAAGGTGCTACTGGACAATTTTTTAATTTATTCCTCTCTTCCATTAATTTGTCTAATCGTCGAATCAAATAATTGTAGAAGGAACCCAGGAATATACATCTGTCCCATGCGGGAATCAAACCTGCAACCTTATCAGCACCGCACTCTGACCAACTGAGCTACGAACCGCCACCCCCGCCCTAAATTACATTTCTGAAAAGAAGTAAGGGGAGGGGAGGTAACCAGAAATGGATTTTTGTGCGTGGAAGGACTGTGAGGTCCATTCAGTTCTGCCACTCAAAATAAATTCCCGGGCTCATAATTCTGAATGAAAGATCTTTTGCTCCCAGCTCTACTCAATGGGTCTCCTGGGAGTCTAGTTAAAAACAAAGCAGATCCCATGAGCATAGCATCTGTGCACCCCTGCTAGATCATATATGTTAGATTATATGTAGCGGTATTATTGCACCTGTGCTTGACTGGAATTTCAACCAGCTTGAAGAGCTTATTATGCTGAGGAATTGAATGGAAGCTCTAGGGTGCAACAACTTATTAATTTTTGAAAAAGAATTTAGGATTCCTATCTTGCTAGCTGCATTTCCAGAGTACGTTTGCGTGTAGTCATAACCGCTCAAATTTTATTAGCCTACTGTTAACACATAGCATTTCTGCAGCAAAGTCCAGGCATTTTGCACTTATTACCTTGCTAAGTCAAAATTAAGCAAGGCTGCCTCAGAGGCGTGGGAACTGGAGCGTCTCCGCCTAAAGCCTGGGAACTGTGCAACTCCAGACAAGTCACATCCTGCACTTTTGTGCCCTGCAGCAGTTCTGTCCGATAAGTGGGGTGCAGCAAGAAACCCCACCTCCGTGCATTTAAAAAATATTTAAATTATTAAATTTTATTAAATTTTCAATAACGAAGAACAAACATCATATTTCCCTTTGTCCTTTTTTGTTGTTGAATGGGACTATCCCTGGAGAATAGCCTGTTTTACCCTTCTGTAAAATGAGCTTAGTGACAGCCAACTCTGCAGATTCACATGAGGATTGCACCTTAGAATAGCTTTTTAAATGAGATGTTTGGTGGGGCAGCTGCCTTGCATGCAAAAAGCTCCCTGGCCTCTTCAGTTATAAAAGGGGTTTCAGACGGGCAGCACTCTGGCCTGAGGCCCTGGAGAACTGCTGCCAGTCTGTGTAGGCAAGGCTGGCAAGGTGGACTAATGGCATGGCTCAGTGCATTACTGGAAATGTGGCACATATGCTATTAGTATATAAAGCCAGTAGCAACCGGGGACCAGTTTACCTATGAGATTGCCTTACAGCATAAATGCCCACTCAGCTACTTTGGTATACAGAACTGACACAGGTGCCCCATAATATCTGTACAGTGGTGCCTCGCAAGACGAAATTAATCCGTTCCGCGAGTCTCTTCGTCTTGCGGTTTTTTCGTCTTGCGAAGCACGGCTATTAGCGGCTTAGCGGCTATTAACGGCTTAGTGGCTTTAAGAAAAAGGAAACAAACTCGCAAGAACTCACAAGACGTTTCGTCTTGCGAAGCAAGCCCATAGGGAAATTCGTCTTGCGGAACGACTCAAAAAACGCAAAACCCTTTCGTCTAGCGAGTTTTTCGTCTTGCGGGGCACCACTGTATCTGCATTTGTAAGAAATCAGTCTTTTAGTATGATACTCAGCACCCTAAAACCGCTGCCTGCTGACATCAGACGGGTGCCTTCACTGTCCTCTTTTTGGTGCCTGCTGGAAACCTGAAGGAGCGTCTCCACCCCCATCGTTCAGCCCGGACACTGAGGTCCAGCTCTGAGGGCCTTCTGGTGGTTCCCTCACTGCAAGAAACCAAGTTACAGGGAACCAGGCAGAGGGCCTTCTCAGTAGTGGCGTCCGCCCTGTGGAACGCCCTCCCATCATACTATCTGACTTTTAAGAGACATCTGAAGGCTGCCCTGTTTAAGGAAGCTTTTAACATTTGATGTTTTATCGTGTTTTTAATATTCTGTTGGGAGCTGCCCAGAGTAGCTGGGGAAACCCAGCCAGATGGGCGGGGTATAAATAATAAATTATTGTCATTGTTTAGGCAAATGCACCCACCGATTTAGAACTTTTGACATGTTTTAATCTGTTTTTGGCTTATCGTCAATTTTGAAATTCCGAATGTTTTAAACAGCTGCTTTTAACTGTTTTCGACGGTAACACAGAATCCTATTGGCTGAAGATATTTTAAGATTGAATTAATTTGTATTTGTAAATTTATATAAGATTACTTACACAATATTGGGGTTTTTTTGTTGTTTTGTTTATTTAGGGTTTTTTTTCCTATGAATTTCAATTAAGTATGGCTTTTTAAAAAAAGATATTTTAAGATCTAGAGTCAATTGACTAAATTATTTCTGGATGTCTAGGAACGTAGCTAAAGTTGGGGGTCAGCACTGGTGTTTGAGAAGGAGCAATACAGTGCCTCTCAATGGTCAAGGATGATGGGACTTAGTGCCCAGTCATTATTGAGGGAGACAGGCAGGGTGGGGACAGGTTCCCCATCCCAGCTGTAAAGCTTGAGTGACCACTGACAGCCTCAGGTTATATGTTATATGTCAGAATGCCTCAGGTGTTTTGCAGATGACTTTGGAAACCAGATCGCTTCCAGACAGCGCACATTCAGAGCTTTTGTGGTGCTTTCCTTTTAGGTGATCCCGAAGCACAAGTTTGTGCTGGTGAAATTTGACACCCAGTATCCTTACGGAGAGAAGCAGGATGAGTTCAAAAAGGTGGCCGAAAGCTCAGAATCCAGTGACGATTTGTTGGTGGCCGAGGTGGGGATATCAGGTGAGATGCTTATGGCGGACTTGTACACAGATCATGAGGTCTATAAATTTGTCTTTTACTTCTCTTCTTTTTTAAAATGGATGCCAGATTAACTGTTGTATCTCTTAACACTGTGCAAACATCGATAACGGAGGCAGGGCTTTTTGCTTAGGATAAGCTGATCAGAATGACGCCTTTCTTCCTGAATCTCTGCAAACATCTCTTCCTCCTGTCTGATGCAACATACTGAGTTTAGCAGAGCTTTAATTGTATTAACTGGTTGACGTTGCTGAATATTGTGTGTGTGAGAGAGAGGGAGAGAGATGGTCTTGTGGATTATTAAGAAATAGGGAGTAAACTCACTGACTAAGATATTGAAATTTTTGTTTTTCGGGGGGAGGGAAAGAATTTGTGTTGAAGATGCTTAGAGGGAGGCAGAAGAGACAGGCATGGCTTTAATTTCCTCTTTCCCCCTGTGATTGCCCAGTCCGCAGGAGGAATTTTTCCTAAGTTCCCCACTCCCTTGCATTTTGATTTGAGGAGCAGGGAAACCATGGGAGAGGGCTAGTCATTACTGATTTTTAAGTTCTATGGGTGGAGTGAGAAAAGGTGCTACACACAGCCAGAAACACAGTGCTTACCGTATTTTTCGCTCCATAAGACAGACCTGACCATAAGACGCACCTAGTTTTTAGAGGGGGAATGCAAGAATTTTTTTTTTTTTTAAGGGAGCGATGAGCAGAGTCTGTATGCATCCCAGGCTGTGCTTAGCGCTCCCTTTCATGAGCTGCGTGGAGCGTGTGTGCGGCGCTTGCAGGCTTTTCCCCAGGAGGGAGAAGGGCAGCTCTGCGCGGCTCGTGAAAGGGAGCGTGGCTCTTGGGGGCTTTTGTGGGAGGTGGGGGAAGGGACTGAGGGGCTGCCCTCTGTCGCTTCCCCCACCTCCCACAAAAGCCCCCAAGAACCGTGCGCTCTTTAAAGGGAGCACGGCTCTTGCGGGCTTTTCTACAAGGTGGGAGAATCCCCCCACCTCCCGCAAAAGCCAGCAAGAGCCCTTCTCCCTCCTCGGGGAAAAGCCCGCAAGAGCCGTGGAGCATGTGTGTGACTCTTGGGGGCTTTTCCCCGAGGAGGGAGAAGGGACTGACGGGGGGGGGACCCCCCAAGAGCTGCACACACGCTAGGCACGGCTCTTTAAAGAGCACGCGGCTCTTGCGGGCTTTTCTACGAGGTTGGGGAATTCCCCCACCTCCTGCAAAAGCCAGCAAGAGCCGCGCGCTCTTTAAGGGAGCACTGCTTTTGCGGGCTTTTCTATGAGGTGGGAGAAGGACACCCCGTCAGTGACAGGCTGCCCTTCTCCCTCCTCGGGGAAAACCCCGCAAGAGCCGTGTGGAGCATGTGTTCGGCTCTTGGGGGCTTTTCTCGCCTGCATTCGCTCCATAAGACGCACACACATTTCCCCTTTTTAGGAGGGAAAAAGTGTGTCTTATGGAGCGAAAAATACGGTGCTTCATTATTTCTAAACTTGCTTTTTTTGTGATGGGGTGGACGAGCTTGGACCTTTAGAGAAACAGGGGACTTGGTTGCAGGGAGGTGAAAGCAGCTTGCAAAAACGGCGGGCACTCTCATTCCATTTACCTGCTCCTTATCAGAGAGGGAGAAAATGTAGCAGCGTAAGAAGTTCGCTGCTGGATCAGGCTGAAGGTCCATCTAGCTCAGCATCCTGTTCTCAAAGTGGCCAGCTTGATGCCTCAATGGGAAACCCGCAAGCAGGATCCGAGCACCTGCAGTTCTCAGCAGCTGGTAGTCAAGTGCATGATGCAGATGACAGCGGAGGTACAACACATTCCATAGGATTTGTCGTGTCTCCTGCCGGTTTGCAAGTTGCTGATTGCGTTTTGCTTTTTGCAAAATTATTCGTGTTGACTGCACCAATGAATCGCAGGAAACCCTCTGTGTGTGTTTGCTTAAAAAGAGCTGGGATGGGGAGAGAGAGAGAGAGGTTGCAAGGCTTGCAATGTGTGCAGTTATGAGGTATGGGGTATTTTGAGGAAGCACCCCATGCATAAGACTGGTGTGTGTGTGTGTGTGTGTGTGTGTGTGTGTGCGCGCATGTGCATGCTCCTTTCTGCATCATCACTTTGCCTGGGAATGTGCAAGACATGTTGCGTGACAAGTGCTGTTTGCCAGCCTCACACAGGTGTCTCCTAAGCACACACACAACCCCCATCCGTTTTGCTATGGAAATGGGAGAAGCCTCTACCGGCCCAAGGGAATCCCTGATCTTACACAAGTGAGCAGTGATCTTCCGTTGCAAGCAGGGGGGTTCTGATATGGGATTCTCCCTTCTACAGGGGGCAGGCTTTCCCTACTGGCTAGATGGATCTTTACCATGTGTTCACTGGTTAGGATTTTAGCATTTTATTAAACATATTAGGTTTTGTGTGTGTGGTTTTATCTGTTTTTAATTATCTTACGTGTGAATCGCCCTAAGACAGTGGTTTAGAAGGCGATTAAGGAATTAATTGTAATAATAATATGGTGCTTCCCCAGAATAGAGATCCCCATTAAGTTAAGTTAGGCCTAAACGGCCTCAGTCCTGTACAGCTGAAGGAGCATCTCCACCCCATTGTTCAGCCCGGACACTGAGATCCAGCGCCGAGGGCCTTCTGGCGGTTCCCTCATTGCGAGAAGTGAGGTTACAGGGAACCAGACAGAGGGCCTTCTTGGTAGTGGCGCCCAACCTCTGGAACACCCTCCCAGCAGATGTCAAAGAAATAAACAGCTATCTGACTTTTAGAAGACATCTGAAGGCAGCCCTGTTTAGGGAAGTTTTGAATATTTACTGCTGTATTGTTTTTAACACTCGATTGGAAGCCACCCAGAGTGGCTGGGGAAACTCAGCCAGATGGGTGGGGTATAAATAATAAATTATTATTATTAAGTGGTGCTTACTTCTGTGTGGGTATAGGACTCAGCTCCTCTGTCCCGAGTCTAGAACATTTCAAAATGAAAAACGATACAGTCCAGATTTAGACACTTTAAAAACCCACAGGTTTCAGTGAGAAAGACTAGTACGTGTTTATTCACTGAAACCAGGGCGGTTAAACCGCAGCTCTCCAGATGTTGCTGAACAACACTTAACAATCTTGATCGTGGACTATACTGGCAGTGGCCCAGCTGTCTGGGAACATGTTGCATGAGTTTTTGGGTTTCCCATTGGGCACTGTAGGATTGCAGCCATAGCCTTAGGCAACCATAGCCCCATTTTCAAGTCCTGCTGTTTTATTATCGGTCTTCTGTTCGCAGATTATGGTGACAAGCTGAACATGGAACTGGGGGAGAAGTACAAGCTTGATAAAGACGCTTACCCGGTTTTTTACCTGTTCCAAGATGGCGACCTGGATAACCCTTTGCCTTACCCTGGGCAGGTCAAAGCGAGCTCCCTGCAGCGCTGGCTGAAGAGCCGGGGGATCTACATGGGGATGCCGGGGTGCCTGAAGGAGTTTGACACCTTGGCCAGCAAATTTGTGGGTGCCACGGAAGAGCTGGAGCGCCAGGCCCTCCTGGAAGAAGGGCGGAAACTCCTGGCCAGGGCGAAGGAGACAGAGCAGAAGTCCTCGGAGCAGTACGTCAAGGTCATGAGCAAAATCCTCGCCCAGGGGGACCAGTTTGCCGCCAGCGAAGTCTCCCGAATCAGCAAGCTCATTGAGGAGAACAAGATGAGCGAGGGCAAGAAGGAGGAACTCCAGAAGCGCTTGAACATCCTTGCTTCCTTCCAGAAGAAGACCAAGGAGGAGAAGGAGGAACTTTGACATGCTAGGAATGGCGTGCTCTGTGGAATCTTAAGTGGGTCGAGGTCCCCATCTGGTGCTCCTTCATGCAAGCAAAAAAGCCCCGCTCTCTTTTAACAAATTCCCCTCATAGAGAAGCTTCCCACATACACACATGCACATCCTTTTTAAACTTTTATTTTGAATGAAAGGCATCCCTTAGGTGCCACTCAGAACAGTACGGAGACTGCCATCGTTCCCAGCGCTGTTGAGAGAATTGGAGGTAGAAGATCCGTTAATCCTTTGTTTCAAAAGGCAAAAAAATAAATAATTTTCCTTTCCCTTTTCTCCTCCTCTAAGAAAAAGGCTTCTCCTCACAGGTGTTGTCCATGCCAGTCGTGTTTCCAAGATGGCCGCCCTCAGGACTTGGCGCAGCTTCTTCTTCACTGGTGGGGTTTTCAAAATGGCTGCACTTGGAACACGAGGCGACCGGTTGTCATTGCTTGAATTCTCAAGGTGCAGCCAATCCTGGCCCCACCAGGCCTGTAACGTTGTGGACCGTGCCAGCTGGCCCACAACCAAAAGAGAAGGCTTATTGAGTCATTGGGTGGGGAGAGTTGCCAGATATTCATGGCGGGCTGCAGTCAGCGTGGTGAGCTCAAAATGGCCGCCCTCAGAATGCTGCTTGGTGTTCTGGCGGGCAATGGAAGAAGATGGCCGCCCTCCCTGTTTTTGTGTGATCTGCGCTGAGGAATTCAACCATCCGAGCAAGCAGGGGGTGGAATCATTTCTGTGTGTGTGTGTGTGTTTTTGGGAGCCCAGGTTTGGCCAAAGCAAAACATGCATTTGAGATGGGGAGGCAAAAATGGCGTTCGTCTCTTTACTGACCAGTATTTGCAAAAATGTTTTTTGGAGGGGAATTACATGGGTACTTAATTTGCTAATAAAGGTTATTGGGCGGAAAATTCGCAGTCGGGTTATTATTTCCCCCCCATTTCTTGCTGCTTTTGTCAACAAGATTAGCGTTGCCCTCTGTGCTGAGCGAAAAAAAATGGAGCTCTCATTCGATCTGAACTCTTGCTCAGAGCAGTTTGCGATTTGTGAGAACTGATTGTGGAAGTTGGCACTTCAATATGATTGATTTTCCTCCTTTTTTTTGTTTTGTTTTAAATAAACTTTTAAGTGTTTGAGAACAAACTGCCCGAGGTGGGAATGCTGAGATTGGAGTTCATGTTCTTCCCTTTATTAAAACCAGCAACAATGGGGGTGGCAGTTTGGATTGGGGCCGTGAGAGAGCGAGGCAAATGGTTAGACCCTCTCCCCTGTGCTGTGCTGCAGTTTAATTCAAATCAAGCATGCAAAGCTGCTTTTTTTAATATGGGGACTTCTGGTTGGGGAATCCCCCCTGTGCTGTCCCTAGCTTGGCCCTCTATGTAGCAGGGGAAACCTTCGGACACCACCCTACTAATGTCTGGAGACCCGACTCGAGAGCCCTGATCTCCAGTCCTCTTCAGTTTCACCAAGCTTCAGAGCCGATCCATACCATCATATGATCTAGAAACTTGTGTGTGTTTTTGGTGACGCTGAAATCTTTGCCCAATACCAGATCCCCACACATAAACAATATGTGTCCACTTCACTCTCAGTGGAGAGAATTGGGTGTGAGCAGGAAGCTGAACTGCCTCACTTGCCCAATTCCTTTCGATCGCCCCCTGGAGTTCCTCCTTAAGGATGTAACAGGCCGTCGCTGCCTCCTGTGGGAGAGAGTTCCACAGGCCAGCTATGCGCAGTTTGAAGAAGTCTGTCCTTTTAGCTGTCTGCATATACTAGCCATGATGGCTGTACTTCTGGAAACAGAAGGAGGGGAGAGTTGCTGTCAGGGCCAGCCCACCCATGAGGCAAGGTGAGGCAGCCGCCTCAGGCAACAGGATCCACACGGGCAGCAGATCTGGCCTCACAAGGAATGCATTGCCCACTGCCAGTGACAGCAACGGCTGTGGCACGCTGCATGAAGGCGTTTTGTGGCTTGCCTCAGGTGCCAAAATGTCTTGAGCTGGCCCTGGTTGTTGTGCTTAAAGCCTGCTTGGGAGCTGTGTTACATGCTTTTCTTTAAAAATTAAATACTTTTCAAAAGAAAACAGCCCTTGGGCTAGGAAAGGATAGCTGTTCCTGTTTCAGGTGACTGAGCTGGAGGGACACTTGTCCAAACAGACAAAAGACTTGTGTCGACTGCTGGTTCTTCCTGGTTCAAAGGTGCTCAAGAAGGGTAATGAGTCTGCGGAAGAAGTAACAGATCTGATTGACAGCCTAAAATTGCCCCCCTGCCCCAAGTGACTGGGCCAAAGCAGCAGGGCTTCTCCTTTTTAGTGTTCATTTTCCACTGAAGGACACTGGCTCGTTTCAAGAAGACACAAAAGACTTGCTCACTCAAGTAGAGTCACAGGTGCCTATTTTGATGAGAGAGCGGCGAATCCAGGTTGGCACATCTCTCTCTGCTGCCCTTTCATTGAGTTCTTAAGTTTGCAAAGCCTGGATTTTATTTGTGATGTTCTGAAATAACAAGTACCGTATGTTCTGGTGTATAAGACGACTTTTGAACCCTGGAAAATCTTCTCCAAAGTCGGGGGCCGTCTTATAGGCCGGGTATGGTTGTGGCAGGCGGCGGCGACTGGCTTGGAACGGCGACGGGCAGAAGGATGGTAAGATGGTAAGGATGCCTCCGAAGCAGCAGCAACCGCGGCAGCCTCCCCTTCCCACGGTGAGGTAGTGCGCGGCTTCGGCCAGGGCTCCGTGGAGCTGGGAATCCCCACAACTGCCAGAACTACCAGCCGGTGAGCGCAGCGCACCGCTTTGCTGGACGGCCGATCGGGGCTCGCTCGCCTCGCCTCGGGCTGCTGCTGCGACGGCAGAGGCAGTGGAGGGGTGCGAGCTCTGCCCCTGGCAGCGCTTGGGGGGCTTTAGGTTGGGGGGGCTGCCTCTAGTTGGCTGCAGGTGGAGATCGTCTTATACGGTGAGTATATCCCAAACTCTATATTTTAGCAGGAAAAGTTGGTCGTCTTATATGCCCAGTTGTCTTATAGGCCGGAAAATACGATATTAGGAAAATTTTCCCTTCGGTACTTCCTTGCAATTATAAATATTTTTGATTTTCAAAAAACACACTCGCAATAATAGGAAGCAGAGAGCAGGACTATAGGGGCAGGTCTCATATGGTTGGGACTGGTGCTTTTTTTTGTTTTAACTTGTTTTTATTGGGTTTTGAAAAGGGGAAAAAAATCCCAAATCAGTATTTCCCTTTAATTCTTAAGAAACAGTTAAGCAGAGGCGCCTGCCTAAAAAGACCCAGTGTGTTCTCTTAACTTTCTTTGAACCTGGGCTAAGATTGGTGTACAGTGGTACCTCGGGTTAAGTACTTAATTCGTTCCGGAGGTCCGTTCTTAACCTGAAACTGTTCTTAACCTGAAGCACTACTTTAGCTTATGGGGCCTCCTGATGCCGCCGGAGCACGATTTCTGTTCTCATCCTGAAGCAAAGTTCTTACCTGAAGCACTATTTCTGGGTTAGCGGAGTCTGTAACCTGAAGCGTATGTAAGCTGAAGTATATGTAACCCAAGGTACCACTGTACTCAAAAATCTCCTTTTTTGCACTCTTCCCACCCTCCCCACCCTTGGCAATATTGTTGAGCAAGTCATTCACTGGCATGTTACAGAACATTTTTGTCTCGCAACCCCTTAAGGGAGGAGCTTATTCAGAGCCCAGCTGTGTTCTTAGGCCACAGGCCCATCCGGGCCAAAGTCCAGATTCCTGTTGTGGGCCAGCAGGCTTAGCTGCCTTCCACTTTTGCACCCAGCAGTGTATCTGGAGGTACACTGTATGTGTCTGTGGTTGGATTTCAGTGGTCAGCAAACTTTTTCAGCAGGGGGCCGGTCCACTGTCCCTCAGACTTCGTGGGGGGCCGGACTACATTTTGAAAAAAAATCAAATTCCTATGCCCCACAAATAACCCAGAGATGCATTTTAAATAAAAGGACACATTCTATTCATGTAAAAACACGCTGATTCCTGGACCATTCACAGGCCGGATTTAGAAGGCGATTGGGCCAGATCCGGCCGCTGGGCCTTAGTTTGCCTACCCATGGATTTAACCATTGGGAGGTTTAGCCACCTGAAGTCCTACCCTAATTTGTCTTGGACATATTATATAGTCCGGTGGGATGCAAATTTAACATTAAAGCCATATATGGTGCCTGATTATATCGCTACATTTTGTCAGGGCAAAACTTGGTGGCTGAGGTCTCTGCCCCCCCCCCAACCAATTTGGCAGAATCGGTCCCTCTCACAAATGCAACAAGGCTAGCTTACTATGTTTTGAAATAAGTGGTGCACATTACAAGACTCTTCAGTCCAGATTCTAAAATCAACCAACTACCCCAGTTAATTCAGATTCCAGAAATTCATTCTATGCCATGTGAATAAGTCCCACCCCCCAGTGGTAGGTTTAGACCAGGGTTTCCCAAACTTGGGTCTCCAGCTGTTTTTGGAACTAGAACTCCCATCATCCCTAAGCTAGCAGGACCAATAGATTTAATCAACCTTGGCCTCCTTACGACATTTGCCTAATCAGCGCAATGTTCAGAAGATATGATTAATCCTGGTTAATAAAAAAGAAACCTCAAGTGGTTTATTTGTTGTTGTTTAGTCGTTTAGTCGTGTCCAACTCTTTGTGACCCCATGGACCAGAGCACGCCAGGCCTTCCTGTCTTCCACTGCCTCCCACAGTTTGGTCAAACTCATGCTGGTAGCTTCGAAAACACTGTCCAACCATCTCGTCCTCTGTCATCCCCTTCTTGTGCCCTCCATCTTTCCCAACATCAGGGTCTTTTCCAGGGAATCTTCTCCTCTCATGAGGTGGCCAAAGTACTGGAGCCTCAGCTTCAGGATCTGTCCTTCCAGTGACCACTCAGGGCTGATTTCCTTCAGAATGGATGCGTTTGATCTTCTTGCATCCTCCAGCACCATAATTCAAAAGCATCAATTCTTCGGCAATCAGCCTTCTTGATGGTCCAGCTCTCACTTCCATACATCACTACTGGGAAAACCATAGCTTTAACTATACGGACCTTTGTTGGCAAGGTGGTCTATATTTATTAATATTATTTGTCGCAGAGATGACAGGGAAAAGGCGACAGTGGCATAACTGCATTGGAGAGCATTGCGCGGCGACCAGCAGATGGAGATATTGATTCATTAGAAGGGACCACAGTTTAAATTCAGGGAATTGTAGCGGCTGGTTTCTCCTCGTATTATTCTGGGGGATTCTGAAAAACGGGTAGGTGGCTGGGGGTGCTGTGGATGCGCAATAAATTCTGGAGAGCAGCAAAATAAGAGTCCTTCTCCCCAGGCGAGCGCCTCTGGAATGGATGGCATAGGCGCAGCTGGAAAAGGGGTGGTGCTGGAGGGGGGGGCTTTACCCCTGACGCGGGGTCCGCATGGAGGCTTAGAGATCGTAGACCCATAGTGCTTGCTGCAAAGGGTTCCAAGGGTCATCTAGTCCAACCCACGGCGACCACAGCCCTGGGGCTGCTCCTGCTTTTGATCTGCAGAGAAATTTCCTTGCCGTTTCTTCCCACTTTTATCGAGGGTCTTTTTTCCTTTTTATTTGCTCTGTGGTTTGTCTAAAAACCCTCTTTTTCCCCATTTCACTACTTCTGACCTTTTAAAATTTCCGGTCCTTTTTTCCCTTCCATCATCATCAACAACAGCATCATCATCAAACCAGTAACTTTCTGCTTTTCCCCCTCTCTCCACTCCCCGCTCATCGCCCGGTTTCCCCTCCTTTTCTCCAAGGGGGCGCGGAGGTTGCGCGGCTGCGCCTGGGGCGGGACCAGCGAGGGCGGGCGGGGCGGGGAGGAGGAGGAGGGCGCTGGCCGGCCGCTCCCGCGGCTGCTCCGCCTGGCTAGCATGGCTTTCTCCGCGCCCGCCGCTGCCCCCGGGGGGCTCCGCACCCAGGACGCCTGGTCCCAGCAGGTAAGCGATGCCCTCCCTCTTCAAGCAGACACCGCACCTCTTTGACTCCAGTCCTCCCTTCCTTCTCGCCAGCCCACGATCACCCTCGTTTTTCCCCACCAGAAGTCAGCCCCCGCTCCCCCCCAATTTGCTTTCTGAGCAAAGAAAAGACCCCTTTCTGAGC